GCAGCCTATCATATCTGTTCCCAATAAGAGTGATAGTGTTGTAAGAGAATTTGCCCAAAACTGGATTTAATGGTGGAGAAGGATGGCAGGAATAAGCAATGCATGCGCACGGGGAAAATGGCACTCTCATGATAAGGTCCATGGTGGTAATAATTTATCCTGCTGGTGCTTAAACAACAAGGTCTTCTGTCTGGGAGAGGAATTTGTCGGAAGACAAATGACCAGAATAGATGATGGTGTGTGCTACCAGCAACGCAGAGACATTTATTGCAGAAATGAGCATTCACATACTGTGTTGACCTAGTGGGAGGCACAGAAATTTGAAGTTATATGAGTTTGATGCAGGAAGTCTATTCATTCACGTTTCACTTTGTTATGTAAAATGATTACATTTAAATATGAAATTAATCAGTTTACTTTTTTGGACCAATGAATGAAGTCTGTAAAATTTAATATCCCATTTGCCAACGCAATTTAAATTTCAAAAATATTATACCATTGTGTTTTTAAAAATAGAAAGACAGAAACACGTTTATAATGAACGTATCGTAGTTAATAAACATGATTATTCATACAGTATTTATAAATTATAATTTTAAGTAATAACTGTACAGAAATTGCTTATGTTTTCAATCAAGATAATTTAGAGAAGTCCGTTTTTGACATTTTTAATTCAAATAAAGAAACCTTTATTTTATAAAATATATAAATGTTTGAATTAAATTTCTCACAATTTCAATGATAATATAAATTATTAATTAATAAATTGCACGAATTTATTTTTATGACATCGCATGCTTTAACGCACTTTAAAATTCAAGAATATTCGTCTATTATATTTTTAAAAATAGAAAGATAGAAACACGTTTATCATAAACATATAATGGTTAATAACCTTGATAAATCCTACAATATTTATAAATTGTCATCTTAAAAAATACATTTAAACAAATTATTTATGCTAAGAAAATTAATTGAATCAAGATAATTTATTGAATCAAGATAATTTATTGAAGTTCATTTTTGACATGTTTAATTGAAAAGATTAAGCGGTTAACGGTTATCAGTTCGGTTCTAAAATAGGACTAAGTCATTAGTTTTTGTAGCAATACTTCTTCATCTGTTTTTTTTTCGTTAATAGATAATCTTAAAAAAATTTTCATAATGGATAATGTATTTGTTTTTTAAATACAATTAATCTATTACATTGCTTTGTAATGCAATTTTTAAAAAACAATGATATTTACTAAAATCATTTTTATATTAATTTTAATTTTAAAGTAGATAGCAGAGGAAGGAATTTCATTCACATACATTCCCTCTGACGTTCCTAAAAGTTTAAGTTGTTCGAATTTTTCCGAGTTTTTCTTCAATCATGAAATAATCGTGCCAAAAAAATACACTGAATGCGTAATTTTAAACGTTCTTGATATAAATAAAGCTTATGAATATTATTTTTATAAATAATGTAATTCTATTCTAATCAATCTAATTAATTATACAATTATATTATCTTTAAATTAAAAAGAACCGGAATGTAATACATTAATTTTTTCATAAAACATTTTCTTAAAAATTTGTAACAGCATTAGGTTATTTGAAATGATGGAAAAATGGTGTTTGCGATCATTAAATGTCTAATTCTGTGTGTAGAATTATCATTTTTGTAACTCTTGACTCAGTTTAGTAAGTAAAGGGTAATCATTAATTCAAAGTTGCTTAAGGTTTTTGATTTCTCATTAGTAAATATTTATATACATAGGGCTATATTGGAAATATTCTATTCAATGCTAATAATTTTATTTGGTTTCAAAAATCATGGTTTTAAATTCAACATTATATTTTCCATTTTAATTCCTTTTGCAATTCTGCACTGAGAGAAAAAAATATGGTCAAAATTATTAGAATATGGTAAAAATTACCGTATCGGTATTACCGCAGTATTGCTATAGTAAAAATTACCGTACCGTTCGGTAATTTTTCGTGAATAATTATTATTTTTTAATTTCCGAATGATTATTTTCTTAAATTGTTTTTGGTTTGGTAAGGATTTTGGTAAAATTAAAGTTTAAATACTGTTTTATGCGTGGTGAAATTTGGTAAATGTGGTAAGATTTGGTAATTTTATAATGATACCTAAGGAGCATAACATCGAAACTATTTATTCGGTGGGATTTATTTTTTGTATTTTTAACTAAATGTGCGGTAACAAGACCAATAATTTAAAAAAACAGAGTTTCCTATAAACCGTTACCATAAGAACTCAAAAATTACCAAATTAATGGTAATAGAATTTATTTTTGTTTCAATAATATTTTTTTTTCATTACCAGAAATGTCATTCCCATATAGTATGGTAATTTTACTACAATCTTCTTCCCCATTTAGAGCTTTATCTGTTTTTCAAAAATTTATAAAGCAGCAAAAATGGGATATTTATACGGAATAGTTAAATAAAGATAAGGAAAGTAATTAAAAATAATAAAATAATACCATATATATATATATATATATATATATTAATAATTAAGTCACTCAAAAAAC